GAATTCTGATCAAGCAATGCCTAATAAGAGATCGTATGTAAAAAGAGACTGACTTTGAGATAAACATGTATTGCCTTTTTCCCCTTAAATGCTGTTTTCTTGGATCTCAAAGTTAGGATTTCCAGGAGGATTTGCAAAGTACAATAAAAGTGCTGGCTTCCACACTTCTTTTGTTTACCTCTGAATTTGCTGAGAATTTCTGAATTATTTGATCTATTCATTTCTAGTTTACTTTCTCCCATTCTTTTGGCACATTAGTTTGGCTTGTGTGCTGTCTAAAAGCATTTATAGCGTGCTTAATGTCTGATAGTCAACACATTCATAATGTTATGGCTCTTACTAAGGAAGATTCAGTTGAGAAAGAAAGAACAAATGGTCTTCCTTTTTTTTTTCTTTCTTTTTTTAGTTTTTGTTTTTTGTTTGTTTGTTTGAATCTCTCATTGCTGGCTCATGGTACTACAGTTCAGATAACCCCTCACATGCTTTTCAGTGATTGATGATCAAACCTGCTCAGTTGTTCAATCTAGCATTTTAGAGTCCTTGATACTTTTTAATAAACTCATTAGAATCAAGTCTTTGCTAGTGAATAAAATAAGTGAAGTAAAGCAATAATTTAGATTAGGGAACACAAGGTTTTATCTGTGTTGCCAACTCCAGTCAATTGCTGGGTAGTTTCTGTCTGAAGGATTTTAATGTTACTTCCAGGCTCTGTGGGAAAGACTACCAAGGTAATCAGTCATATGTAGAATAGTTCAAGATGTGTTGGAGTTAGATGATGTAAGGAAGTGAGGGGAGAGAATTCCTGGCAGAAGACAAAAAAAGCACGGAAGAACATGGTGTATATGGAGGGCAGCGGGGGAGAAAGAACAGTAGAAATGCAAGAAATTCAAGGTTCCTGGAGCCAAAGTTTCAAAATATGAAGCTGTGAGAGATGAGAATAGGAAGCAGGCAGAGTGGTCTATGCTCAGTTTAAGAGCTTGGACTTTAACTAGTTGATTAGTCAGAAGGTTTTAAGCAGGGAAGCGATGGGCTTGCTTAGCTTAGAGTTTTGAATGACTGTTGTAGTGATGGCTTTGGGGGATAAAGTTCAGCAAAGATAGGGTGAATTTTTAGGGTATTTTTGCAGAATTCCAAGACATAGATAATTTGGGCCTGAGCAAGGATTGCTAATAGGAATGGAAGAAAGTAAGAAACATTTAGGAGGAAAATTTATGCATGGCTAGAGAAGGAGAAAGAAGGAAGGAGCAAAGCTTGGGAGACTGGATGGATAGTGAACAGTATAGGTAATGTACTAAAAAATATATTTATAACTAAATGCTAGATGTTTAGGCTAGACTTAATAGGACATAATACTATAGAACATCTGAACTACCTCTTTATTATTCTCTTTTTGTTGAGGAAGATGTTCACATAAATCATTTTTTTAAATGCATGTCTCCTATTTCTGAGGGATACTAGAAAGCAAACTATGTAGGGTATGAGAACAAGGAATGTATTCTATTTTGGGTGACCTCTACATCTATCTATTACCTATCATCTATCTATGTATCATCTATCTATCTATGTATCATCTATCTATCATCTAATCTATTACAATAAGAAATAATATAGTCCATTATAAATAATATATATAATATAAATATAAATAATAAAGATAGCATGTGAGAATAAGTGTCTCATAAGCATGGTGGCATTATTTATTGTCAAACCCAGAATACTTTTAAGAGTGAAAGCTATAGGGGCACCTGGATGGATCAGTGAGTTGAGCATTGGACTCTTGATTTTGGCTCAGGTCATGATCTCAGGGTCCTGGGATTGAGCCCCACATCAGGCCCCACACTTAGTGGGGAGTCTGCTTGAGGATTCTCTCTCCCTCTCCCTCTGCCCCTCCCCCCACTCTCTTTCTCCCTAAAATAAATAAATCTTTTTTTTTTTTAAAGAGAGTTGTAGGGAGTGGGTAAATAATTAAAATTATTATAATTTTAAAAATATTTATTTATTGAACAGGTTTTTATTATATTGGTCAATTTATAAAATAGTTATTAAAAACTATTTGCAAAAATAATATTCTAATAATAATATTTGGTTAAAAATTAAAGGCCAAGAATAGGACAAGAATAAAACCAGATGGGACACCAGCACAACAAGCAAAAAGTATAACTGTCCCTGGCAAACAGGAAGTGTGGTTACTCAACTTATGAAGACAGAAAATGGATTTTATGTGCTAATTCCTGATGAAATAGTTTCATTATCTCCTTCTGTTGCTCATTCCTTTCTGCTAGGGATCCAGCAGAGAATGCACAGAGGGTTTATGTCCACACATGGACTCACAGCCCAGAGGTTGTTAGTAAACCCATGGTTTCCATGTCTCAGGTGCTATTCTAATACTGTGCCCTCCATCATTACCCTAAAAAGAGGGACTGGCTGGCTCTGACTGTGGTAGAACATTCTGCTGGTTGGGAAAATAACAATATTGGAATATACCTTGGGGATGTGCTAGATACATTCTGCCATCTGGGCAGATCCAAAATGTTGGGGTTCATCTTAGGGGAAGAAGAGCTCATCAAGCCCCAAGGGGAAAATTACTGCAACCTTCTGAGTTTCAAAATGTTGGCTTTGGGATCCTCAGAAATGATGATTTTTTTTGTTTAAAATATATGCCTAGGTTGGGGATGCCTGGGTGGCTCAGTTGGTTAAGTGTCCGACTCTTGGTCATGGTCCCAGGGTTGTGAGTTTGAGAACTGGATCAGGCTCTCAGCTGAGCATGGAGCCTGCTTAAGATTCTCTCTTTCCCTCTCGTTCTGTCCTTCCCCTCCCTGCTCACATGCTCTCTCTGTCTGTCAAGAATAGAATTTCTGGCCTCTGGCCCTTTGGGGCAAGCTGGAATCTATTTCTCATTAGTCCACAGCTTTTCTTTATCAGCCTTTTGCCCTAGTAATTATTATTTTTTTATCATTTAAAAATAATTACTGCAAAGAAGGAAAAAAAAAACTTCTTATGCCCTTTTAGTATTTGGTATCTTCCTATTTCTTAGTATGATGTAGTTAGAAGAACAAACACTTTAGAGTCAGAAAAATGTGCCTTAAACTTTAGGCATATTAATATCTCCTGAGTGTCAAATTACTTTAATCAGCTTATCTGGTTGGGAATAATATTGCAGAGTTTGTGATAACTTTGTTGTCAGGATTAAGTGAGATGATCCAAGTAAAGTGCCGAGCAGAGTGTTTAACAAATAGTAGGTGGCCAAAAAGTGGCAGCTAGAGTTATTACAGAAAGTATAAATGTTTTCATGTTGGTGAGGCCAGAAAATTGTCACATAAGCTCCTTTATCCTCCATTTCAGCTTCCTTTCCACTTCTTCCCCTCCCCATCCCCACCAGCTCCTATTACCAGTACTTGGGGCTCTCACGGTGCTGTTTGACTGTCCTTTTTCCTAGTCTAGCATCTTTTTTTCCTGATTTATCTTCCTCACTTCCTTTCTTCCAGACCTTCTAGTCTTATGACTTATGCTTTTGTTGCCTGCCATATCTAACCTTGTAGAGGTTCTGTTAATGTCATTTATACCAAAATGTTAAAGACTAACATCATTTTCATAGGCTAGTCTTGCCAGCACATAGATCTATTTTAGTAAAGGTAAACATCATAACCTTAGAGAATAAAATTTCAGAACTTAAGTTGGAGACATCAGCAATAGGGACAGAGGAGATATTTTTATTTTCAATGAAAGCAATAAAAGTAATGAAAAGCTACTATTTATTGAGTGTCTATTTTACACTGAGTTTTATATGCATTTTCTCACTGAACCCTCACAATTAATAAATTATGTGCTATCATTATTGCTATTTTTCTGATGAGGAAAATACAGCTTGGAGAGGTAAAGCAAATTGCTAAAAGTTATATACACCTAGTAAGTGGAGAAGACAGGTTTGGAACTCAAGTCCATCAAACTTATCACCATCTCTCTCACTCAATCATTTACATGGTAAGTTTTCATCAGGGCAGGTATCTTTGTGCTCTTCCTAACATTATTTGCTAGAGCCTAGTGGAGTGCCAGACACATAGTATGCAATTAATTGTTGGTGCATGAATTAATGAATACATATCTATTCTACCATAACCTCCTTTCCATTTTACCTCACTGGAATCACCTTTTGCTTGGATGCCTGCCTTGTCGAATATTCCAAAATTCTGAAGTGCCAGTAGTCCATATATACCCTTCTGTTCCCTGACTTCATGTCTCTATCTTCCTGTCCTATCTACCTGCAATTCCTCATTTTCCCAGAAGTCTCTCGGCTAACTTCCACTTACCCTGTAACACAGAGCTCAGGAGGGTCTCCCTCCATAAGGCTTTCCCTTTCTCTGACCTCTCCTCCTTCCTTTTCCTCACTGTCTCCTTTCCTGTTCCCACCATGGCGCAACCTGACAGGGTTCCTTTCATGCCTGTGTCTTCCACTAGACCATGGTGTATTTGAAAGTGAATGTCTGACACCTTTTTTATCTTTTTTTTTTGTACCTAACGTATTTTTCTTCTGACATATTTTTATATGCTTCTGGCCTAGCCTAGTTTATCAATTCTCAGGTGTTTTGTGTTTTTTTTTCGTATTTTAACATCTCTGAATTTGGGATACATCTTTCAGTTGATGGAATCTTAAAATTATAATTGACAGTGTTTTTTTCTGATCTAGTGATACAAAAAGAAGAGTTGACTGAGTCCTAGAATCAATGGCATCTTAAATTTAACATAATATGGTAATAGAAAATAAATAAAGGTTATATGAATGAAGGAAGGAATAACAATCATAGCCCTCCTCAAGTCATATTATTATTCCTACTTACAACCTACCTGTTCTGCATCATAGACAACATGGCAGGGCAACAGTTGAGCATTATTCTTTATGTTGGGTTTTCCTAGTACAAGTAAGACATAATATACTACCTCAAATTATTCTTAATCATTTCTTTCTGGACTTACATTATATATTCCATATACTTGTCTTCTAGGTGAAATTGATCTTCAAATTCTTTCCAAAGTGCAGAGTCAATATCCAGGAATTCATATCAACAATGAAGTTGTTGAGCCAAGTGCTGAGCAAATTGCCAAGTACAAAGGTACCTGTAACCCATGGTGCTGTATGTCAAATCCTATCCTGAAAGGCTTATCATCCCAAATTTGTCCCCTCAGTCATTAACAACATAGTCACTAGGGTATGTTCTTTGTAAGCTTATTGGGAAAATAAGATATTTAATTTGTTTTCTTGGCAGATATGACTAACACCTCAGAAATATGAACAGTGAATAATTAGATTTCTTTTTTTACTGACTCCTCTATTCCCTGGTCATCAACTATTATTTTTGATGTTTATTCTTAGAGACAGAGTCATTAATTCATTCAGAAATATTTAAACAGAATCCTTGCTCTTAAAGGGTTTATGTTTAATGGATTACAGCAGGAGTCAGCAAACTTCTCTGAAAAAACACACACTGTAAATATTTTTTAGGCCACACAATCTCTCTCACAACCAATCAACTCTCCTATGGTAGCACCAAGGTAGCCAAAGATGATGCTGATAAACTGAGTGTTCGTATGTTCCAATAAAACTTTATAAACACAAAAGTTTGACTTTTATAACATTTTCACATATCATCAAATGTTATTCTTTTGATTTTTTTTTAACCATTTAAAAATCTAACAGCATGAGATATGAAAAGCATAAAGTCAGGAAGTGAAATAGTATGTTTTTAGCTTTCAGTCTATTTAGAAATAGGTGGCGAGCCAGATATGGGCCATGGGCCATGGTCTGCTGACTCCTGGGTTACAGAATCATATCATTTGTTTTCCACTGATAAAATTCACCAGTTGATTTCCCATTAATACTGAGATAATGTAACCAATGTCTGATCAGGGTTCTCATAATTATTTCTTATTGACTCTTTCTTTCATCTCTAATTTCATTTACTACTAGAAAAAAAAAATCAGGATGAACTCTCTGGTCTTCCAGAGCCACATAAAAAAGAAAAATGTGCTTTATATCTGTTATGTATATAACATTGATTGCATTAAAATTCGAAATGGAAATGGATTCTGCATTTGCAATTAAAATTGATGGTGTGCCATCTCTTTTCTATATTTTAGAGCTTGTAGCCAAGACATCGAACCTCGAGAACATAAAGTTTGCTTGGCATAAGGAGACATCATCTGAATATCAAAATAGAATCATAGAGAAAAAAGAATTTCAGAAGTGGGACTTTATTCATATGATTCAGGTAAGAAATATTTATTGTTATATATTCTCAGAAAGATGTTTTTTTTCAGAAATATGTATGAAGAATGCCTAATATTCTACCTTTAGGAAGAAAAATGAAAATCTGGTTTCTGATTTTACAAGTGAACATTATCTGTCCAGATTGAGGATAAAGATGTTGATAGTACTGAGAGATTCTCTGTAACATTCAAAAAGCCAATTTTTTAATACTCAAACACCTTCAGTTACTGATTTTTTTTTCAATGTTGGCTTAATTAATTTTTGTAGGATTGGAAGTTCATAGATAGTTTTGAGGGCAGTAGAGTGTTACATATCCTAGCACAGCTCTAATGGTCTGGATGGACCGATGTCCCAGTATTTTTCTGAATCTTTTCTTTCCCTTCTGTTGATGACCTGGCTGGTGTGCATGTGACAGAAGGGGCAGATTAGATCATTCTTAGGTCGATAAAGTTTACCTATATCAATCAGTCATTCAGTAGGAATTTATTTCCATGATCCAGCACTGATAGTGTATTTCTTAGAAATACACTGGAGGGTTTCTTGGAAAGGGGGTGACCATTCATTAGATGTTATGGGGACGGATTTATGAGAATCACTGATATTTCTGGATAGCATATGAGTGTATAGACTTTGGGTGTTGTCTACCATCAGAAAATGTGTATATTTTAGAAATACCAATATTAACAGTAAGAGACATCTTTCCACAGTCCACAAGTGCAGTCATCCCAAAGGAATAAACTTACAAGAAATCAAAGGAAGAAATGACTCCAACATTAGTTATCCAACCAATCCTACACCTCTGCTTTTCTAGCTGACAAAATCATTTACCTGTAAGAGAGTACTTAAATTGTCCATCAAGCCTATATTGTTTCTCTATTAGACTTAATTTCTTCCCTCCTCATATTAACTATTTCATACCTCCTTCTCGCTCCTTACACTTCCTGTAACCCCTCCACCACCACTCATTCCCAGCTGATGACCTCACTTCATACTGTATAGCAAAAAGAGAAATCATCAGATGGAAAGTCATCTTTCACCCTCCAAATTTATAAACACAGCTGCATCTGTACCCAACATCTCTTTCTTTCATCTAATTACAAAAGCCTCCTTTTATCAAAAACCTGTCCCTCCACTTGTACTCTGGATCCCATTCTTTACCTGTTATAAAATGTCGCAGCTTCAGAGATCATTCTTCTATTTCTCTCAAAATTTCCATGCATCTTCCTTCTTTCTTAGAGCAACTCTGCTTCCTCTGCATTACTATTCTATTCCTCTATCTTCCTCCCTGTCTAGGATACATTTTCCCTATGTTATATCTTTGTCTCTTCATTGTTCCTTATAGTCTTAACACTCTCATGACATTCTTTCAACTTAATGTTCACAGTCAACTTCAGAGAATCTCAGTATCTATTAGATCAAATTTCAGAGCATCTGTTCTGGCCCACCTCCTCTTTTTTAGCCAGGTCACATCATAGACTGTTAGCCATCTTATGGATTATGTATCTGGGTACCTATCCCTGTCATGAACAGCATGGAATGACATGATACTAAATATGGTCCCGAAGCAGCATAGGCCATGTGCAGCTCCATTTTATTTCATTCATTCATGTGAAAGGGGTGTAGTTTAAGTTGTGTTTGCTTAATGCAAAAAATTCTATCATGGGCATCTACATAGAATATTAAATTATTGCCCAAGAGAGATGGAGATGAGATTTAAGAAGTAAGTATCTGTGGGGGTAGATTCAATGTATAATTCTAGGCTCTACCTGTGTTGAGTGGAAAGGCTTTTCCCTGAACTTCATCAGAGATGGTCCAGAGTTATTAAAAAGGGATGGGTTGACCCCTAGCACCTTATGACCAAGTGTGTAACCTCATGCTTTATTCAGTCCATTTTCCTAGAGAATCTGTCAACATCAGAGCCTGCCATATTTTCTGTGATTTAAAAAAAGCATCTGTGAGCATATGGTAAAGCTGGTACAAGGGGCTTAATTTTAAAGCAACATTCCATGAAATGGGGTCTGTTTTTTTAGTGCCAGCACCATCTTCTCCCAGAAGAACTATAATTCACAAAATATAGAGTAAGCATAGAATCGATGCCCCAATGTGGAGTGGAGACTAAGTATCTCCAGCTATAAATGTCTCTGTTATTGAAGTCAGAAAGAGTAAATTTAAAACTATTTGGCTGTAATTGAGCAAATACCCTGGTTTTCCCTTTACTCAAATATTTTATCACATTATTACTTTCTTTCTCCATATAACAGCTTTAATTTTTAGATTCTTAAAGTGTTTTGTTGAGTAAAACTCTCAACTTGAAAATCAAACTTTCTGATGAGTATCTAGCCCAAGTAACAAAGACATTGACATAGAAAAGTGTCTAATCTCTCTTTTCTTTCATTTCTAGATGCTGTATTATGTAAAAGATATCCCAGCTACCCTGAAATTCTTCCATAGTCTCTTAGCTACCAACGCTAAGATGCTCATTATTCTTGTGTCAGGTAAATTATTTATATTCACCCTGAATTTTAAAACAATAATAGTGCATATGTGCTTGGTATATGTGTTCGAAGGCAGCCTGCTATATTTGGTCTTCATTATGAAATTCTTGACTTGGCTTCTGATCGTAGTCAATTAACACAGTATTAGGAAAGTCCTTCATAACAGCTATCAATTTAGGGGGTCTAGTGGAATTAAATGTCTAATTACTTCTTTCTCTGGGGAAAATTTATCTTTGTTGTCTATATATAAATTCTTTTTTATATGACATAGAGCAAATACCACTAATAGGAATTTTTTTAATGAGGCCAAAAACAGCAAATATTTCTGTTTACCGCCTTTTTGCTTCTTGAATGTCTCTTCCCCTTCTGTGATGTTTATTATATATAAATAAAGGTTTAAATATTTGGGATGCCTTCATATTTGATTAATTTGCATTTCTAGAGCCATTATCAATATTGTTCATGGTAGATTTTCTCAAATAACTACCAAATATTGTTCACTTGTTTTGTATTTTCCAAAGAGGGCATTTGATCATGTCATGTTGCTTCCACTATATAATAAGTACCACATAGAGAAGTCAACATGCTAATAAATGAAACACTGACATTGTTGAGTTCATTAATTCATTACTTCTTTCATTCAGCAATCTTTGTGGATTGTCTACACAGTGCTGGGCAGATTGATTCTAGATATACAACAGTCTCTATCTTCCTAAGTATATACCAGACCCCTTACTCAAAACCATATGTCACAAAATTCATCAATTCTTAAATATGAGAAATGACTTTAATGATGGCAAATAGGGTTGTTGCCTATAATTCTAGGGTTGAACTCATGTGGGAGTTTTTGCAAATGAGAGTTCCTGTACACAACCTCTTCCCTAAAGGAACATTTTGATATACTATTTTTATCTCTAGTTAATTAAAAATACTCATGTGGTAGAGTTCTGTTTTCCCATTTAGAAGGGCTTATGTAAACTGGATGCTTCCTACTAACCTCTGTCTAAATTAAGACACTTGGGTAAAGCCATTATACTACATTTAGGAATACAAAAGACAACTTAGTTGTTACCAACGAGGGCAGTCTATTCTTGATAATCTGTATCAATAATAAAGAAAAAGTGTTACCAATAGAAATAACAGTTTATCCAGAAATCATGTATGTTTGATTTTAGGATATATTTCATACCAATAGAAGATCCACTCTTTCTTATATTTGGTTTATTCTTAAATATTTTCAGAAGTTAAGTATTTCAGTGTCAGAAAGCAGTTTTCTATGAGTATATTTCTACCAAGAGGAAAAAGCCAGTCTAAGGTTTGACGTGAATAGTCTACAAACAACTGAGAACTAAGTACCTTTATGAATACAGTATTCTGCTGGCTATCTCATGAATTATATTAATACAATCCATGGTTTATTAGGATCAAGAAATGTTCAAACCAAAACAGGCACAGTGAAATATATGGTGATACATGCAGCAAGAATGCTGAGGCATTTCCTAGCTGTGTGAACTTGATCTATGAGTCTTAGTTTATTCAAGGGCTATTTCTAGATAATCATACCTACATTACATTGCATCTATGCATATATGTGGTTCATATGTACTATGTATATATACTATGTATATATACATTCACAGGGAAAAATCAAAGAAAGAGAGTAAAGACTCAAATATCAATTAGTTTTTTCTTAAAAAGTATTTTGACACAAAAGATATTCAGTCAATGTAGTTTGATGGTGGAAATATTTTGCTAACTTTTTCTGCATACAGTAAAAAACTCTTCATTACTGTACTCAGCATGGGAGAGAGGTATCCCAAAGAGGACAACATTGTTCATAGACATTGTTCCTACATGTAAGAATGCAAAAAATAATAAATGTCCAATTATTAAAGGGACTCTAATGACCCCCTGCCTTTATCACATGCACTTTTCTTAGAAGAGATTTGTGCAGCTACAAGAGAAATATCATACATACTTCTTAAACAACCACTTAACAAAAGGAGAAGATACATTTAGGCATTTTATTTTGGACTTTCCAATTATCTCCTAAGGCTAAAAGTTACAGCTTTATTGTCTCTATCAGAAGAGTTATTAAGGAAAGAAATTAATTAAATATATGTAATAAAAAATAAGCCACCTTGTTCAATATAGTTTCCTTTTCAGTAAAGAAAATATTCTACTTGAAAAGGTAAATAAAATTGTCAAATATGTTGATCTTGTCATCAGTTTAGTATAAACTGAATGTCTCCAGATTCCTCAGTCTTAGGGGATCACTTATAACTCTTACAAATCCAGAAAAAATGATGGGATCCCTCATCCCAAGTAACTTGGGTCATCCATCCCTCTCCCCATGACTCCTGAGGATCTTGGGGGTCATGCTTACATGCTCCTGATGGTTGCCAACCACTGTTTGCCCCAAACTTCTCCTGCCAGTTCAATTTTTGATTTCCTATCTCCAAACCTTGCATGTCTTTCAGCTGCCTTTTCTTATCCTGTTCTGCTTTGCTCCAAACATAGACATAGCCCTACTTCCTTCATTCTCGAAAGCACCATTCTTTGATTTTTGGGAGATGGCAAGACTGATGGAGTAGAAGGACAGCAGGTACAGAACTTAGTGCAAAGTCCCACAGACACTCTTTTCCTAGCTTTTCTCCTGCTCAGTGGTGCCCTTCTCCCTTGCACCTACTCGTAACTTCTCCCAGACCTCACCCATATCCTCTTAGCTCACTACTTTTCCTAAGATACCAACTCCTCACTTTTGCCCTTCCATCCCTCTTATTTGTTCCTTGGAGCAGTTTAACTTCCTTTTGATCTACCTCTCTCACCTGGGTAAACCTGTGCACCTATGAACCTGTCTTAGCCACAGTATATTTCCCCAGGATAAACTGTATTGCCTCTCAGTGTATGGAAGTGGCTGCAGTTTCCTTTTTTAAGAATAGCAATATTTTCTTTGTTGCATTAACAAAATCACTATGAATATATGGGTCAGCTTTTAGAAAAATAAATCATGGCCAGTTTCCAACAGAAAAAACAAATTGAATCACGAGAAATTTGCAATCAGATTTGCCTTATATCCTTGTCAATTAACATGTATACGATTGATCTACAATTTTTATTGTTCATTTTTTCATTTGCTGATATCACTTCAAATCCCTGTCTGCCCAGACCAGTCTGTAGATAGCAACCAAGTTTGAGAATGCTTCCCGGATCCTATGAGGTGCCTGAGCAACTTCCCCCTTCACCCCGTATGAAAACCATTGCCCTAAACTGCCTTCTCGGCTCAAACTGTAATCCTTGAAACCCCCTTCTCCATGTTTACCTCATGAAAACATTCCTTAAACTTGAATATTGCCCTAAAACTTGGAACACATATACCAAAATGGTTCACACTAAGTTCTGTTCTTACCAAGCCTCCTGTAGTCACTTTCTGGGTGGAATTTGCTTCATAATTACCTAGAAGTGCAGAAACCTGTTTGGGAAGAAAGCTTTGTTTCAGGGCAACATTTTCATCCATAGCTACACTTCAATGCAGAAAACTGGGTGCTCATTGTAGACGATTCAGACAAACCTAGAACTAGTTACTAAATTAAATTTCCAGGAACACTCATCTAGCTAATATCTAGTCAGATAATAGTATGTCTGGATTACCATCTTGCTCTAAAGGGTCATCTTAAATATGCCACATAGCTAAGGCTCTTTCCTGTCCATCTCAGACACTGACCTATTACTGAATTGACAAGTTATTTCTCTGAATAGACTGAATTACTGTTATTTGAGTACCATATGGACACTCGTTTTTACAATTTATTAATCATAAGATAATGAAATATGGGGTCAGTTTCCAGAATTATGCAGAAACCTAGGTTGGCTCTATGTTCCATGTGTACCATGTGTACCTAGATACCATGTGTGTTCAGCCATATTGAAAACAGTACACAGCCTGTACTCTCAGTCCATGTTGTCTTCATAGGATAGCTGTTTTGTAGATTTGATTCATTCAGCTTTTCTTGAGCTTCTACAGTCAGTCACTGCTAGGCTTTGTAGGATGCAGATGACTATTACTTTTCCTCTGCTTTTGAACGGCTCCTATGTAGTGGAGGACTGAGGCATGTAAACACTTGAAGCAGTGTGCTAAGTTTCTTATCAGAGGCATACAAGGAATTTAAAGAGAGCTCCTTGAGAGCAGGCATTCTGCTTCTCATCTCTTTGGCACCTAGAACACACCCAATAGATATTTGAATTGAACTGAATAAATTATTTTATAATCATTTATTATTTCTGCCTTATAATATTCTAAACTACTAGTTCTGAATGTGTCTAAAAAAAGAGCATGTTTTGGCTAAAACTACATGATGGACTTGGAATCAGAGAACAGAGAAAGTTCTGGAGATTTGAAGATAGGTTTAATAAACAGGAGTAAAAGACTCGATAAAGAAGATACACATGCACACAGACACGCACACACACTAAAGTGCATGCTCGGCAGAGAAAAGTGATGAAGAGTAGCCAAATGAAACTCATTAGGAAAAGACAGAGAAATTGAAATCAGAATTAAATGACAGCATTTACTGTTAGAATACATGTTGCTTGAGGGAAGAGAGGCTTTTCTCTGTATTTGGAAGTATCAGTTACAGAACTAGCCCAGCTCAGTAAATATTCATTTAATTATAACAAGCAGAGGTTCCTGATTATATAAAGATAAAAGATTTGATTTGGGGATGAAAAGGAAGAGAAATAAGGACAAATGAGGTGGATTTTTAAAATGAGTGTCTCACACTAAAATGATATCAGTCGTAGCATGTTTTTCTGCAAATGTAGTAGCCAGGCATTAGTTTTGAGAGTTGCTAGTTAAAATGCAACTTTTCTGGTTAAGGGGGTTTAGCCAGAAGGAGACACTAGTTTTTTGTTCTCCCCTCTCCTTACCTGACTGAGGAAGGAGGCAAACATGGTGTGTTATTTTTAATAGAATGAGAAAAAAGAATCTGGTTTATATCATGTTGGAAACAAAAATAACACCATATGTTGTGCCCACTGACAGCCATTATGATAATGCATCAGGAAGTGTATAATTGCTCAGCTCAGAAATGACACCAAGTCACACAACACTGACACCAGTAAATTTTCTGCAATCAGTATTTGGTTATTTTTTTTCTCTGTCAGCTTAAAAATAAAAATAATAATGATAATAGAGCTTCTTTTCAACTCATTGAAATATTTATTTTCTTGTAAAGTCTTATTTGTAGGCATATTCTTATTTGGGCAGATAGTCATTGTCTTTGTAATGAAAGATTTTTTAATACATACTCATGACCCTATTATTTTTCATTGGACTGAGGTTTTGTTTATTCTGCTTCATTCCAATTTTACCTTCTAGAGCATACCCTGAAGTTATCGCTCCCTCTTAAATATTGGTAGAATGTCAATTATCTAAGCTATTTAAATTTTACCCTTTTCTGCCTTGGATAGTCTGTTTTGTTGAGTTCAATCAGGAGACTTTAGCCCAATCCATGGATGAGGGCCAGGGGTCTTTGGGCATCCAATAATCATATGCATAACTGTATAGGTATTTATTGTTTGTGTACTTCGCTGGAGAGTCAGTTACTTCATTAGACCATAAAAGAGGTTTGGGAACCAAAAAAATGTCAAGCCTTTGAAATCTTCACTATTAATCCTGGAATATAGGTTCCCTCTTACATTGCTTTGCCAAGTCCAACTTAATTTCCCAATACTTGAACAATGTTTATTTACTACGTGTGCCGGTTCCTTTACTTTTTCTTGCCCTAATTCTATGCAAAAATTCTATTGTTATCCCTGTTTTGCAGGTGATAAAACTGAGGGAAAGTTTCATAGAGCTAGTCAGAGGAAAAGTCAGGCTTCCTACTTAAGCAGTTGGCTTTAGAGACCCTCTTACTTACTACACTGTATCAACTGTGTATGTAACATCCCATTATTATATGCAGGTATTAGAGGGTCCACAAACAGATGCTCATTTGTGTTGTAGTAGTATTATAGATTTCTAAACAGCAAGTTTGCTTTTTCACAGTCTCAAGATTACAACCAGTGAAAATATATTATCAAACTAATTCCATATAATGTTCATTTATAAGTATTTATTATCCATCTGCCATGTGCTTAGCATTGTACAACAATTCACTTAAATTATCTCATTTAATACTTGCAGTTGCATTTGAGGTAAGTATGGTTATCCCCACTTTATAGATCAGAAAACTGAGGTTCTCAGAGACTAAATAACAAATCTCATCTCTTCATGAAGTGTCAGAAGTACATTCCAACCTGCGTATCTCTCCCTCAGAGGCTGCATCTCTTAGTTTCTACACTGGGCTGGGTTTCCAATTAAACACAATAGACATTGCTAAAACATCGTCTAAAGCTGGGAACAAAATTTGTAAGAATCAGCCTATGTATTGGCAGTGCAAGGCAGCATTTTATAAGTGGAGACATGAGCGGCTACCCCATTTTTTGTTTGAGAAAATTATCATTGTATTTATTCTGCTCTTTCTCTCTGTTTCAGTTCTTACTTTTAGATCCTCTCCTCTGAACTCAAGACTCACATAAACCACTGCCTTCTTCCTATCACTGCTGGAATGTCCAAGAGGTATCAATAGATATCTCATATTTACATTTCCAAAACTTGACACCTGATGATACATTTAAAACTGCTCCTACCTCATTCTTCCCATTTCCAATAATGGCAATTCTCTCTTTTCAGGTAGTTGGGCCAAAATCATCGGGGCCACTGACTCTGTTTTCACTCATACCCAATATCCAAATTGTTGGCAAATCTCACTGGATCTAGGAGCATAATATATAAGAAATCCAACCACTTCTCATCACCTCCAAAAGCTAGCTGCTCCAGTTTGCCATCATCTGTCACCCAGATTATTTCCATAACCTCCTTACTGTTCTCCCTGTTTCTGCCCTTATGGCCCTATAGTCTATTCTCATCTGTGTGACTAAGTAACCTTATTAAAATGTAAATCAGGTTAAGTCAATCTAATGTTGTGTTGTCCAGTATAAAAGCCACATTTGGCTATTGAAATTGATATGTAAATGAATTGCAATGAAGTAAAGCTTAAAATGCATTTTCTTGGTCATACTAGCCACAGTTCAAATGTTCCTTAGCCACAGATGGTTAGTGGCTACCATATTGGACAATGCAGATATAGAATATGTTCATCAATCCAGAAAGTTATTTCAGACAACTCTACAATGGCTTCCCATCTCATCCCACGTGATACGGCACCCTATCTACTTCCCCACCACTCATCCATCCTTTTCTTCTATTCTCCCCTTTGCTCACTGAATTCCAATCTCACTGGTTTCCTGGCTAGTTCTTAACATGACAAGCATGCTCCTGCATCAGAGCCTTTGTAGTTGCTCTTTTCTGTACCCAGGGTATTCTTCCCTCTGATACCTACATGGCTTGTTCTCATATCTCTGCTCAAATGTCACATTATTACAGAATTTCTGTGACCACTCTATATAAACAGCAACCCATCTAACTCTTTAACCCTCCTTATTCCTTTTTCTGATTTGTTTTTTATTAGCACTTAGCACCATCTGATATGTGATTTATTTACTTGTGTATTTAACTTTCTTTCCCCCTGCTGTGTACCTCTTAAATTAAGTTACTCAAAGGCAAGAATATTTCTTTATTGGCTGCTTTATTCTAAGCATGTAGTATACTTCCTGGCAGAGAAGAGAAATGAGAAGAAGAATAAGTAAAAGCATGAATTTGTTTTATCACACAGGAATCAGTGGCTGGGACAAGCTGTGGAAAAAGTATGGATCCCGCTTACCTCAGGATGACCTCTGTCAGTATGTCACATCATCTGACCTCACTCAGATGCTGGATAAATTGGGGATTAAGTATGAGTGTTATGACCTTCTGTCCACCATGGACATATCTGATTGTTTTATTGATGGCAATGAAAATGGAGAACTGCTTTGTGATTTTTTGACAGAAACCTGCAACTTTAATACAACAGCACCACCTGATCTCAAAGCAGAAATTATGAAAGATCTGCAAGAGTCTGAATTCAGTGTAAAGAAAGAGGGAAAGGTTCTTTTTAATAATAGTCTGAGTTTCATAGTGGTTGAGGCATAAATATCAACATGAAAGTATATTAAAAATATTTTGAATAATGATCATTTATTTTTGTTTTAAAATTATAAACACATCTCAATATAAATAGATCGTCTCATATATAAGAGACAAATCTAGAAAATTCCAAGACATTCTTAGATTTCCATGTGAATCATATAGGATACTGTTAGTCTTATCCCATTCCTTCCCCACATCAAGAGGCCACATTCCGAATAAATACCACATAAGCTAGGAAAATGAGACAACTAAGTTTCACTGGCTTATTGACAAGAAAATCCTTTCCATTTGTTGATTGTACTGGGATTTCCCAAAATATTCATAAAACATGTGCTATGGATTCTTTAAATACTACAAAAGTATATACTTATTGATATATATGAAAAAGTATGTTTATTGATCTTTTACCTTTTGTGAAGAATTATTTGTCTGTGCACATTCTTCTAGTAGTTTCTATCTTGTTTTTATTGATTACTAAAAATAAGCACCTTAGGATACTACAAAATTATTTGTTATGTGTTCCATTTGCTTCTACTTTGTTTTCTCTTTTCTCTTTATTATCTTTTATCTTTGATTTTATAGTATTTTGTTTGTTTTTTGATATAGTGAAGTTTTTTTCTATTCATTTTCTATTCAGTCAAATTTTAAGGTTTTTTTTTCTTTCTTAATTTCTGGGTTTCTGACACATTTTTAAAGGCCTTCTTAAAACAAGGTTTTAGAATATTTACATATTTTATTATAAAAAATATAGTTTCACTTTAAAAAATAAATCTTTGATATGTTTGAAATTTACATAAGTGTAGGAGTCTGGGAAGATGGCAGAGTAGAAGGACCCTCAACTCACCTAGTCCCATGGTAACGCTCAAATCAGCATAAATAACAGAAAACCACCGAAAGGCAGAAGAAACTCCACAACTAAAGGTAAAGAAGAGACCACATGGAAGAGGATAGGAAAGATGAAGATGAGGTGGCGAGCTAAAAGGGTCCTGGCTGTCTGCAGTTGGGAGGAGCCAGGGGCACGGAGAAGGGTCAGAAATAGATGGTCACACCAGTGAGCCTGCATAGGGAAGAAGAATTCCCATAACATTTGGCTCTGAAAGCAAGAGGGGCTGAATTTCATGAGTTCTTACAACGAGCATGACTTAAAGACTGGAATTTTAAAAATTAGTAGGCTCTGCTCTGGGAGAGCCCAGTGTGTTACAGGAAACTGGGTCCCTGTCCTTAAAGAGATAGCACAACAAATAGCCCATGGAGATACAGCATAGAAGCAGCAGTTTGAAAAATGCCTAGGGCATATCGGAGGGAAAATTATTTACTAATCTCAGAACATGTCCCAGAGAAACATATTTCCCTGAGAGACTCCTCCAGAAACAAAGGAGCTGCCATTTCCATCTCCCACCCATCAGCATAAATGCTTCACCACCTTCAGAAACCAGCAGAGCCCACACTCCTTACTTAACTTGCTTACACTAAGCCCCTCACATCAGGAGATCTGTCCTTTCCAGTCACCTGACTGCACTGCAGTCTCCTCCCCTAGAAGACTGGCATAAATCTTGCCAACACCGAGTCTCCTGTGTGTTTTGTGGGGCCTTGTTCCAAACAGCAGGTCACCTCCACACACGCCTTGTTAAAACTGCACTCCCTACCCATGTGGGCTTTGCAGAGCATCACTGGCCAGGCCTGGCCTTCACAGCAACTGCATATACCCTATGGAAGAGGACCAGCACCACCTTATTAAAAGTGTGTGCCCACCCACTACTTTCAAGAGTAGGAGACATAGCTGACTTTCCCAGCACACAGAAACAGACATAGAGAGTTAGACAAACTGAGGAGACAGAGGAATATGTTCCAAATGAAAGAACTGGACAAAACCACAGCAAGAGACCTACGTGAAATGAATATAAGTAATATGCCTGTTAGAGAATTTAAAGTAATGATCATAAAGATAGTCACTGGACTTGGGAAATGAGTGGATGCATCAGTGAGATCCTTAACAAAGAGATAAAAAAGAACCAAGCATAGATGAAGAGCACAATAAATGAAATTAAAAATACACTAGATGGAATCAATAGTAGGCTAGAGGAAAGAGAAGAAAAAATTACCAACATGGAAGACAGTAATGGAAAGCAATCAAGCTGAGGAGGTAAAAGAAAACAATTATACGGAATGAGAATAGACTTAGGGAACTCAGTGTCTCCATCAAGCACAGTAACATTGGCATTATAGGGATCTCTAAGAAGAGGGAGAAAAGGGGGCTGAAAATCTATTTGAGGGAATAATAGCTGAAACTTCCTGAATCTGGGGAAGGAAACAAACCCAGATCTAGGAGGCACAGAGATCCCCCAACAAAATCAACCCAAGAAAGTCCACACAAAGACACATAACAATTAAAATGGCAAAAAGAAGTGATAAAGAAAAAAAAATTAAAGCAGCAAGAGAAAAGAAGAAAATTACCTACAAGGAAAACTCCATAAGGCTATCAGTGGATTTTTTAGCAGAAATTTTGCAGGCCAGAAGAGAGTGGCATATGTGCAAAGTGCTGAATGGAAAAATGTGCAGCCAAGAATATTCTATCCAGAAATGCTAGCATTCAGAATAGAAGGAGGGATTAAGAATTTCTCAGACAAAAACTAAGGGACTTCATGACCACCAAACCAGCCCTACAAGAAATGTTAAAAGGGACTGCTGCAGATGACATGATTATATATGTATATAATATATAATATGATAATATATATATATCCTAAAGATCCCACCAAAAAAAAAACTACTAGAACTGATAAATTAATTCAGTAAAGTTGCAGGATACAAAATCAATGTACAAAAATCCATTGCATTTCTATACACTAATAATTAAGGAGCAGAAAGAGAAATTAATTCAATTTACAATTACACCAAACCCAATAAAATACCTGTACTCTGAAAACTATAAAACATTTGATGAAAGAAATTGAAGATGACACAAAGAAATGGAAAGACATTCCATGTGCATGAACTGGAAGAACAAATATTGTTAAAATGTCCATAGTACACAAAACAATCTATACGTTTAGTGCAATCCCTATCAAAATACCAACAGCATTTTTCAAACAATTAGAACAAACAATTCTAAAACTTGTGTGGAACCAGACAAGACCCCAATAGCCAAAGCAATCTTGAAAAAGAAAAACTAAACTGGAAGCATCACAATTCTGGACTTCAGGTTATATTACAAAACACAGTGATCAAAACAGCATGGTACTGGCATAAAAACAGACACATAGATCAATGGAACAGAATAGAAAACCTAGAAATCAACCCATAAGTATATGGTCAATTAATCTTCAACAAAGGAGACAAGAATATACAATGGGAAAGGCAGTTTGTTCAAAAAATGGTGTTGGGAAAGCTGGACAGCAACATACAAGAGAATGAAACTGGACCACTTTCTTACACCATACACAAAAATAAACTCAAAATGGATTAAGAACCTAGATGTGAGACCTGAAACCATAAATATCCTAAAACAGAGCACAAGCTGTAATTTCTCTGACATCAGCTGTTGCAACATTTTTCTAGATATGTCTCCTGAGGGCAAGGAAAATCAAAGTAAAAATAAACTATTGAGACTACATTAAAATAAAAAGCTTCTGAACAACAAAACTGGAAAACAACCAACAAGATTAAAAGCCATCCTACTGAATGGGAGAAGATATTTGCAAATAATGTATCTGATAAAGGATTAGTATCCAAAATATATAAAGAAATTATACAACTCTACACCAAAAAAAAAGCAATTAAAAAATAAGAAGATATGAACAGATATTTCTCCAAAGAAGACATACAGATGGCCAACAGACACATGAAAAGATGCTCAACATACTTCATCATGAGAGAAATGCAAATCAAAACTACAAAGAGATATTCCTCACACCTGTCAGAATGGCTAAAAGAAACAACAAGTTTTGGCAAGGATGCAGAGAAAAAGGAACCACAGTACACTGTTGGTGGGAATGCAAACTGGTGTACCCACTGTGGAAGACAGTATGGCGTTTCCTCAAAAAGTTTAAAACAGAACTACCCTACAATATAGTAATTGTACTACAGGGTATTTATCCTCAAAATACAAAAACACTAATTCAAAGAGATACATGCATCCCTATGTTTATTGCAGCATTATTTACAATAGTCAAGATATGGAAGCATCCCAAGTGTCCATCGATTGATGAATGGATAAAGAAGAGGTGATTTTATATATACGTGTGTGTGTATATATATATATGTATGTGTGTATAAATATATATGTAATGGAATATTATTTAGCCATAAAAAAGAATGAAATCTTACCACTTGCAACAACACGGATGGAGCTAGAGAGTATAACGCTAAGTGAAATAAGTCAGAGAAAGACAAATACCATATGACTTCACTCACATGTGGAATTTAAAAAACAAAGCAAAGGAACAAAGAAAAAAGAGAGAAAGAAAAACCAAGGAAACAGACTCTTAACTATAGAGAACAAATTGATGGTTACCAGAGGGTGAGGGGATGGGTGAAATAGGTGATGGGGATTAAGAGTACACTTATTATTATGAGAACTGAGTAATGTATAGAATTACTGAATCACTATACTGTACACCTGAACCTAATATAACACTGTATGTTAACTATATTGGAATTAAAATTTAAAAACTTAATAAAAAAAAAAATTTACATAAGTGGAAGGAGTTAAAATGAGAACAAAATGTTTACCCTCAAAAAGATAGGTGACTATATCAATACAATTTACTGGGGGGGGGGTGGATTTCCACTGACTTAAAATGCACTTTGTATCATTTACCAAATTTCCAGAAAACTCTGAATCTATTTCAACACCTTAGAGTCTCTTATGTTCCTCTGTCTAAGATCTCCTTTAAGACTAAGAGTCACCCTTGGACAGGATTTCAGAGGATTTTAAAAAACCTATTGAATGTGCTTTATTTTATCTTTAATGGTAAACATCTATCATTCTTTTTTTTTAAAGATTTTATTTATTCATTTGAGAGAGCGAGAATGAGAGAGAGAGAGAGCACATGAGAGGGGGGAGGGTGAGAGGGAGAAGCAGACTCCCTGCCGAGCAGGGAGCCCGATGCAGGACTTGATCCCAGGACTCCAGGATCATGACCTGAGCTGAAGGCAGTCGCCCAACCAACTGAGCCACCCAGGCACCCCTAAACATCTATCATTCTTATAAAAACAGTACATCTCTTTAAATAAGTAAATAATCCAATAATTTATAATTAATAAATGAAGATATATTTAAAGTAAGTGAATAATTACTACTTTCTGTTACATACAGAATAAAAGTTAGGTTTTACTGATGAGCTCATGAACCCTCATTCTCCCAGTTCTGAAGCCTTCAACATAGTGTGGTATTCACTTTTTCATCTTATAGAACTACCACTTAATGCTGCAGGAAATACCTATAGAGTTAATACCCCTCCCTAATCTCCTAGCTGAAGTCCAGGAAGTATACTGGAGTGCACAGCCTATTTTTGC